AATGGCAGCCGGCACCATCCGCCAGTACCAAAGGTTTGTCATAGCGAGTTATTCCTCGTTTTCTTTGCTCTAAAATTTTAAAAGCGCTATGTCGATGGACTTTAAAATTCCAAAACTCACGCAACGTGGCGACTTCGAATGGCTTTTTGCATTATCAAGCGCCGGGGCATTTTGCTCAACTTACCGCCTGCCAAGTTATTTACTTGGTAACGTTATTGACAAGTAATAATATCACTGGGTGAAATATCGCTTTTTCATTTTCAGAAACCCGACAGAAAGACGATGCGGGCAAACCAAACCGGCAATTATTTGAACTTTAAAGAAGATTTTGAGAGAGCATTGTCAACCGTGAACACCGACAAGCCACGAGATTTTCGACCGAATGTTGAAATTACAACGCCTGATGATTCAAGAACTACAGGTATTTTAAGTCACTTTTGGCGTTGGAGGTGTACGTGCAGTGTATAAAATAAGTATTTTAAAACGCATCGAGAACGTCCCTGTCACGAAAACGGCATGGCATACTGCGTAAACGAAGGTCACAACGGGAAGAGATTTTCGTTTAATACACCCGAAACTGGAATTTGCTTTGTTACAAGGCTTATATACGACTTTAATATTCTTTGATTATCGTAAAAAAGCTAAAACTCGTCTTACCCTACTCATTTGAATGTATTGTCGTGTAAGAAACATTTTCACACACAGTTCTGTAAAGCCCTATAAGGTTTACCTCCAGATCAGGTTAGCAACAATAGTTTGTGTGTTAAAGACAATGGCAAAGTTAAATGTAAAGAGTTAGTGGAATAAAAGTGCTAATCCCGGTCCACTGTGCGCTTGCCGCACCAAGCTGCGAAGCTTTTGCAATCTTATTGTTTGCTTGCATTTTCCTTAAACCTTTTGTTCAAAAGAAGGTTTCAAGAGGATACAAGAAACTTTGACCTCGGAAATTTGGTTAGTTTTCGTTTTGAATGTCTTTCCGGGTGACCCAGGAATTTATAACAAAGGAATTTTCGATTAATAAATATCGCAGGTAGTATTCTTTGTGTAAATGACACAAACTGGTTCTTTTGCAAACAAAATTCCTGATATTGCCACCCGAAGAAAATACAAAATACCTGAAATAAGCAGGTACAAAATACAGCCCGAAAAACTTGCGAGTTGAACTGTGATGCGCGCAGCTGAAACCAACGGGAAACTGAAGTCAAGAGACTGGAGATGAGGACTCTTGCTCGCTTACTCGCTCGCTTGTTCGATCTCTCCGGCTGGAAAATGAAAAGAAATGTCTGCTAGGCTAGATGGCTACCACCATTAAAAATTTATTTATCCATGATAGAATGAGTATGAGAAAATATATCTGGGAGTCTGTCTTTGTTTTCCTCAGAAAAGGATACCTAATCAACTATTTGATGCATTAATTAAGGCAGCGTCCACACCA